TGAGTGAGAATTTGAAAAATGGACTAAAGAATATGATTGATTTATAGTAAATAGAAAATTTCGGGTGATTTGTATTTAATTTCCCAGTCTCTTTAATTTGTAAAACCATTTTGGAAGCCACCGATATCCCTCATCTTGGAGAAATTATTGAGTACGAACACTGCATGCATCTCTGCATGCGATTTCCGATTCTGACCGTAGATCACGGTGATCTACGATCAGGATTATTTCAATTTTTTTATTAAAAAAAATTAAGTGAGGCCCAACGAAATACATCATGACCATAAACCATAAACTGTATGGAATAGTTTTTATTTTGTGCACGGATGACTCAACGTCAATGAGAGTTAATAGGAAATCACACACCTTTCTAACTTATAAAGGTACCCCTCCATGGCCAACCACACATCCATTATGCCAATCCCTCTTCTCTTCCTCTCTTCCACTTTCTCTCCTGCTTCTACCACGATCGGCGCCATGGCAGACTGGTTTGTTGGCCCAGTCATGGATAAGGTCATCAACGCTTTCTCTGATTACCTACAAGATCAGTACTTCAGAGGGCGGACAGGCATGAAGGAGGAGCTCGAAAGCCTGCGAGTGAACCACCCATTGATCCAAGCTGTCGTCTCTGCTTACACCCAGGGAAAGATCACAGATCGTAACCTCAACAGCTGGTTATGGCAGCTACGAGATGCCATCGATGAGGCGGATGATGTTCTTGATGACTTTGAGTACATGAAGCATAAAGAACGACTGGAGCTGAACATGGAGGAAACAAAGGTGCGTTCTTCATTCGATAGATTATTTTTGGGACCTGCTCGCAAACTTCGTAAAATCTGCGAACGAGGTCTCAAAATTGATCCAAACTTGGAGAGACTGGAGGAGGCTGTGCAGAAACTCGATAGAGTTTCAGCCCAGGTCAATACCTTCCTTCATCTTGTAGAAAAGAAAGAGAAGGAACAGCAGGGGGAAGAACAGCAGGCGAAGGATCGGCATCTTTACGTTGATCGTGCAAGCGGATCCTTGCCTGGACCTGTTTTCATCGGGCGAGATCAGGAAAAAGAGATTGTGATGCAGTGGTTGAGAAAACCATCAAATCACAACCTCTCTCTTCTATCTATAGTGGGTTATGGTGGCATGGGGAAGACGACTCTGTTACAAAATATCTATGCTGATGAAATAACAAAAGAGTTTGATCTTAAAATTTGGGTTTGTGTTTCTAACAACTTTGAAGTTGAAGAAGTCATCATGGATATGCTGAAATATCTTGATAAATGGAGTTCTCATTTGACAAAACTTCCTCCTCTTCAAGAGAGACTTAATTCTGTGACTCGGTCCAAGAAATTCTTGCTTGTTCTGGATGACATTTGGGAGGAGACGACTACAACCAAATGGGAGAAAGTTATCTCTCCTCTGGCTAATGGAAATTTGGGAAGCAAGATCTTGGTCACAACTCGAATACATGCTGCTGCATCAATTATTGCTGATATTATAAAGAATGAGGAGACGTTGACATTAAAAGGCTTGGAAGAAGCTCGGTGTTTGGAGCTCCTCAAGACTTACACATTTGCTGGCATGGAGAATTTTAGAGAACATAAGAAATTAATGTGCATTGCTGAAGAGATAGCTAAAAAACTTTCGGGATCTCCATTGGCAACGAAGGTCATTGGTGGGGGTTTGAAGTATGATTTAACTCCAGAACATTGGGAAAGAGGTTTAAGGAGCAATATTGGAAGCGTAGAACTAGTACCTGGACA